CGGCCCCGCCAGGTCGCTGCCCGCCTCCCTGCGCCCTGGAGGCAGAGCGGAAACTCCCCCGAAGCCTGCGAGGACGCAGGAGCCTTCGGTGGGGGGTTGGTCCTGCTGATCTTACACCCGTGGAAACGTCACTCGGGTCACACGGGGCAAAAAAGGGCATTTCAAAGAATGCGCCGAGATGAGGGACAGTGATCCCTCCCGAAGGCTTCGAGCACACCCACCCTTCCCGCCGCTCCTCAGGGTCTCAAAGGAAGGGGAAAACCCACTCCTGTCCTTCATGCTTTGGGCTGTGCCCACCATTGTACCCGGGCCTCTGCCGGAGGGAGCCGGGGGGCGGCAGGGAGCTCCCAAACAGAGGGGTGGGCTGCCAGAGCAGGGAGAGCTCCCAAACAGAGGGGTGGGCTGCCAGAGCAGGGAGAGCTCCCAAACAGAGGGGTGGGCTGCCAGAGCAGGGAGAGCTCCCAAACAGAGGGGTGGGCCGCCCCTTTCCTGCTGGTTTTCCGGGTGGCGTTTTCCAGCTGCAAGTGAGGGACATGGGAGCCCCTGTCCCACCCCAAGGCCCTGAGGCAGAAGGTGAGAGCCAGGCAAGAGCTGGGGAACAGAATTTAAGGGGTTTCTGACAAAACAGAGGGGCTTTGTGGTGAGGAACATACAACGCAGTTGCAGCAGGAACGTTTCTCTCGCCTCCAGGATGTTATTTCTGGCTGAAGGCAGTGAGACGTGGATGGACCCTGTCCTTGTTTTGGCAGGGATAGAGTTAATTTCCTTCCTAGTAGCTGGTACAGTGCTGTGTTTTGGATTTAGTATGAGAATAATGTTGATAACACACCGATGTTTTAGTTGTTGCCAAGTAGTCAAGGACTTCTCAGCTTCCCATGCTCTGCCGACTGAGCAGGCTGGAGGGGCACAAGAAGCCGGGAGGGGGCACAGCCAGGACAGCTGACCCCAACTGGCCAAAGGGACATTCCATACCATGGGACGTCATGCTCAGTACATAAAGCTGGGGGAAGAAGGAAGGGGGGGACGTTTGGAGTGGTGGTGTTTGTCTTCCCAAGTAACCATTA